CCTACTCCCTTCCTGGGCTCCCTCTCTTGCTTCTTTTTTTGGTTGCAGCCATTATTGTTGTTTGGCGGGCCCAGGCTGGATTTGAACCTGCCACCTTAGGTGTATGTGGCTGGTGCCTTAGCCACTTGAGCCACAGGCGCCGAACCTACCAGTTTTGCTTTGATTTCATATACTTTTTTGTTTATCTCTATCCTAAGAGGAAAGAAAAAAAAAGCAGCTAATAGGGGTCTTAGGAAAGTTGTTACTGGCTGGACTGTGTTGCCCCCAAATGCATAATATTAAATTCCTAACGCCAAGTACCTCAGAATATAACTGTATTTGAAGATAGGATCTCCAAATAGGTAAGTTAAAAGGTCATTACGAAGGGCCCTAATGGAATGTAAATGGTGTTCTTATAAAACGGTAAGATTATGACACAGAAAAGAACAGACGGAAGACCATGTGATGACACAGAAGAAAACCATGGACAAGAAAGAAATGAGACCTCCAAAGAAACCAACCCTATCAACACCTTGATCTTGTCCTTCTGGCCTTCAGAATTGTGAGAGAGTAAATGTCTGTTGTTTAAACCACCCAGTCTGGGGTACTTTGCTATGGCAGCAACAAGAAAGAAAGAAAAGCAAAAGGGGAAGGGGGAGCAAAGGGGAGAGAAGGAAAGGAAGAAGGGAAGGAAGGAAGGAAGAAAGAAAAGTTGTTAAGGGTTTCTTTTTTTTAAAAGATAGTGGAGGGAAAGGAAAGAAAAACTCTGAAACATTACAATTTTATTTAACTTACAATGGATAGTGAAAAGAAAAGCTTAAGAAAACTATCATTAATAAAGAAAGAAAATACTATCAGATTTCACGTAAAAAAAAAAAAAAAAAAAAAAAAAAACAGTCCAAAGAGCTAAGAGCAGAGGACAAGACAAGAGGGAAGAGCAGGCTCGGCGCCTATGGCTCAACCGGCTAAGGCGCCAGCCACGTACACCTAAGGTGGCGGGTTCGAATCCCCAGCCCGGACCCGCCAAACAA